TTCTCTGAGTGCCATGGGAGCCACCGCAGGCTCTGAGTAAGGGGTGATGTGCTCTGACTTAACGAGAACCGAGAGAGAGGCAAATGCAACACAGAGGCTGTAATTTAAAAGGAACATATTGAATCAATTTAATGAACTTAAGAGCTCATGAATTAGGTTACAAGTTGAAGTAGAGTCATGCATCGCTTAACGATGGGGATACATTCTAAGAAATGTGTCGTTCAGCGATTTTGTCGTTGCGTGAACAGCATGGAGTGTACTTGCACGCACCTAGATGGTATAGCCCGCTCCACACCTGGGGTCCATGGTACTGATCTTATGGGACCACTGTTGTATATGTGGCCCATCTTTGACCAAAACGTCACTATGTGGCACTTGACTATAAAAGTAGGACCAATGCCCCCTTTTCAGCCACCGAGCACTTCATTTAGGTTTCTGTGCAAGTATCACCTCCTCCAGAGGTTCTCCATGATGGCATTTATCTAAAATCACCACTCCCCCTGACTTCACCTTTCTACCCGGCCGCTTTGTCTTTCTTCATAGTGCTTATCATTCCTTGACAACTGATCTCATGCTCATTAATTATTTCCTGTTGCCTTTAGTAGAAGGCAGCCTCTGAAAAGGTGAGGATTTTGCTCTCGTGGTTATCTCTGTAGCTCAACACCTAGGGGCCCGCCTGGCACAAAGGGGGTGCTCGGGACCAACTCGTTGAATGAACGAACGAACGAACGTTCAGGAGTCAAGGAGAACCCTTAAGTTCTAATTCAAACAAAGAGGCCATGAGATGGGGGAATAAACAATTAAAAATAAACTATCAAATCACAGATTGTTTTCCACCATGAGTTGGTTCAAGGTTTTTACTCTTTAGGGTGACAACGGCTCATCTTAATGTTTACCCTGTGTTCTTCACACAACTGTGATGACCAGATTGTGGAAAACGGGAGAAAAATGATTTACAATTTTATGTCCCTCGTGTACCAGGATCAATGTAATTTAAAAATTTCTTCCTATGTAGTTTCAAAGTTTGCCATGCTCTTCCATGGCCTCAATATATCCAGAGATCAAACAGTTTTCCCTCATGGTTAAACTTTTATCTAAAGTTCCTTCCGGACTCTGTGATTCTAGATGGAAGCCAATAAAAAACACAAGCCAGCGAGCAGCTGATGGTTTTTATTTCTAACATATTCTGTTGTACGAAGGATTCCCGAGCTAATTCCTGTAGAGATTTGAGATAATTTCCCCTCTTCGATCTAGGCTCTCATTTTGCCTGATCTGAATTTATTCATCAGTTTGGGATTTTAACCTGCTTTAACAAAAACACGAAGAATTTTGAGGAGAACTGTTCGAGTAATAAAACCTCATTAATTCTGAGTTCCCCTAACCAAATAGCTACAAATCTCAAATCACTACAGTTTATTTTTATACAATCTGTGAACAAGTGGGGCATTACTAAGCAAAATCAATAACGCAAAGAAGTTTGAAGAGAAAAGCTTTCCTACTAAAGATAAACGCTTTCCGCCACATGAGCAATATCGTGGGCAAAACAGTATAACCGCAGAGTACCAGAGGCCGGCCCTCGCAGGCTGCACGCTGGCCGACGGCAGCTGTCAGGGACCACGCATCTCTGGGGGGAAACTATTTTGCTGCCAGGAGACTAGAGTCATGGGTGTTACACAACACAGGAGGCGATGCAAAATGAGTAACTGCCAGTCAGGCAACATGGAACAATCCCTCCAAGTCGATGAGATTTATCTTGGAAACAAACAACCGGAAAAACGAACGATTAAAACTCTCTTTGCCACTTGCTGCTCGCTCAGGTTGTGGCAATAAAATTTTATTTGTTTTACCCACCAGAATTCCAGAGACAGCAGGGTGAACGGTGTGGTAGAAAGGGAAGAAGGAGCGACAGGAAAACAACACGTTTAGAGGCTAAGGGGAGGCGGGATGACGGTGTGAGAAGAGACTTGAGTCAGGCCAGCGGGCTGGGTTTTTGCTGGCCACCCAAATGTGTAAGACCATTTTAGGGGGCTGCAGATCGCTGCACCTCAGATATAAAGGGACAATGATGTCCTTTCCTAAATCTTGGGCCTGCTGACCTACGGTAAGGCACGCAAAGGGTTTCAAAAAATGTAAAGGATGATGAAGACGATGATGACAAGACTGCTACTACAAATGGTATGTTAATGACTTCTTGAGAATTTACGGGATGACAGTCACTATTCTACTTTACATGCTATTATGGACTGAACTGTGTCACAACCATCCCCCCCACAAATTCCTATGTTGAAGCCCAAACCCCCAGCGTGACTGTATCTGGAGAGAGGGCTTTGAAAGAGGTCATAAGCAGGGACCCTGATCCAGTAAGAGTGAGGTCCTTCTAAGAAGAGGAAGAGAAACCAGGAGCGAGCCTGCACAGAGAAAAGGCCATGAGAGGACACAGCGAGAAGGCCGCCAACTACAAGCCAAAGAGAGAGGCCTCACAGAAGCCAGCCCTGCTCGTACCTTGATCTTGGACTTCCAGCCTCCAGAACTGTGAGGAAAGAAATTTCTGTGGTTTGAGCCACTCAGCCTGTGGTATTTTCTCACTGCAGCCCTAGCAAATTAACCCACGTATGTTAGCTCATGTAACCCTCCTTACTACAATATTATCCATACTTTCAGATACAGAAATAGAAGCAGAGAGACGTTAACCAACTTGACTAAAGTTGCACTGCTAGTCAGGAGGCAGTAGTGGAACTGAATCGAATCCAAGTAATATGATTCCAGGGCTCACGTTCCTAACAACTGTTAAAATATAATAGGAGGTAATACAATTAATATCCACAGTGACACAAAATGGATGCTTTTATCAGAAAAACCCACAGCAAATACAAACTTCTACATGCACTATGTGCAACGGACTTCTACTTTTAGTCCCTCTTTTCTTCTCCTTTTCCGGTCACCCAACAGTAAATATTCTTGGGGGCCTTATCTATCTCAGGCGTTATCTGAGGCTTGGGGCATCTGGCAGTACGTCTGTGAGGTCCGTGTTCTCCTGGTGTTTGGTGCTAGTGATGAAAGCCAGCCAACAACCAAAGAGGAGAGAGGAGACAGTGATAAGTGCACAGACAAAAATAAAACAGGAAGTTGTGCTGACAGGAGGAGGCTAGACTGGTCCCTTTCTTTACAGCCAGTTACTGAGTGCACGCCATGAAACACCTGTGAACAGGACATAGCGCTCACTCTCGGGGACTCCCAATGCTGGCGTGGTGCTGGCAGGCCCCAGCCTCAGTGGCCCCTTGTTTCTTTCTCTGTGACATGAGGCTTTTGTTCTAACAGTCTATCACTTCTTTGATTAAGTCAGGAAGTTAGTTAGGCAATACTGACCTTAACCCAGCTACCAGGTGTCATGGAAATAACAAACGAGAGAGTAAAATGTATTCTCTAGAGTATTTCTGAAGTTCCACAGAGTGCAATATAAAGGTTGTAGGAAGAAAGGGGGAGGGGAAGGATTATTTAACTGCATCTGAACAGGCTTTAGCTGTGACAGTAGTATTTATTTAAACACTTGCATGCTCATGATGTAATGTCAGACACCTCCTGGGAGCGAATATGAAGAAAGGAGCTTGTGACGAGGCATGAGACTTAAGGTTGACAAGAGAAGGGGTTTGAGGGGGTTGTACAGAAAGCAAGACATTGGAGAAAAGTGACAACATTATGAAGTCTTTTTCCCTGGAAAGCTCAACCCACCAAAGAAGTTGTATTTCAGTACGGCCTTCTGCAGAAGTGGAAGGATCAAGGGGCTCGCCACATGGGTCCCTTGGCCGGAGGAGGCTCTGATAATTACAGAAGGTCATCTGAAACGGCAGAGCTTCACACCTGCTTCCAGCAGCCCTTGCCACAAGGGCAGCACGAGCGCGTCCCAGCTCTACCTGCAGCATTTCAGGGTGGCAATTGGTGCTAAGAGAAAATTCTCCAAAAGTGCCATCAGGAGGCCCCATGACAGGAAGGGATGAGGCGAAAGGTACCAGAGAAATAAGGACCAACTCACGTTGCAAGAGTGGAATCAGAGAGAAGCTGTGAGGCTAGAAACAGCCTGCCTTTTTGAACTGGAACAGAAACTGCGCCTGTGGAAGACCTACACAAACAAACATGGCGAACGGACTGTGCTGTTGGAATTACAGGGTCACTGGGACTATCAGGGTGGAGCTTTAAAGTAGAATACGGGATTTAATAATCTGGCCCACCAAATCCAGCCCCAAACAACGTGAAGACCTGAAAGAGACAATGACTCTTGATGACTGTGACAACGCTGGGAGCAGCACTCCGTCATTTCACTCAAAGCCTTACCAGGGAGAGCGTGGTTCTCAGGGGAAACGGAGAGAGCGAGTACAATTTAAAATAGCAAAGCTCTTCGAAAAGAGGAGTGAAGACGATTTAATATACTGTGTAAACCACTTACACATTCATATTCAAAGGCAGTAATTCAATAAGCAAAAGACACACAGTATTCATGGGCAAACACTTGTGGACACCCTCACAGAGCATCTGAATCTCTGTAAATATTATCATTTGAAATATCCTTTGTGTGCAGTTATATGTTATAGTTTTCCCCACTCTGATTTCTCCTATCATGGGTAGACGGACTGCCAAAAAAAAAAAAAAAAATCTGTTAGGGAAATTCTAGATGCTTGTGGATTTTTAACATTTGTCTTGGGAACCCCCAGTGCCTGAAAGAGCTAAGCAGTTAAATTCCCCCCAGCTGTGTGTACTCGAACACCGACAGGCTCCCACCACCACCTACATCATTCCTGGAGCCACATCATTTTTCTCTCCTCTTATGTGATACTGATAGCTTTAGCACTATCTGTTACGTGCTCTTGTCTCTCCAGGATTGTCTGGAGTTTTGAAGGTTCAAACTTGGATAAAACGATGCAAAAAACTGAATCTAACTCCAGGAAATACACACAGTTTCCACGCACGGCTTCCCGGCCCATGGAGGGTGGGGCAGTCCTCCTTACCTTTATCATAGATTTCCTTCAAGACCCCTCGCTTTATCAGCTCCTCTCTGCTTTGCCTCATGGATATTTTCCTCTCCAGGGCTACAAGCAAAACACAAATAGAGAAGCAGGTGTCAGTAGGTAAAGACATTGTCTTCTAAAGGCTTATATTGTAATATGTATTAAAATGTAAAGCATATGAAAGCTTCTGTAAATTATACTTTAATAGTGTAAGTTAATGATACTAGTTAACATCTTTTGATGCTGTGAGAAGCATTTTAATCAGATTATTTAATTTAATCTTCAAGACAATCTTCAAATTACCTGTGAGGTAGCCATTTTTATTTCCCTTTATTTAACCCAATTTCTGTAGCACAGATAACAACTTGTCAGAGTCACAAGCCGATTGAGAAGAGGCACCAGGATTCAAAGCCAGAAATGCCACCTCTGAGCTCGGCTTAACCTCTGCGTCATATTGCATTTTCCTGAGTGGCAGTGCCTCATAATGGGAATTCTCTTTTTCATGATCTAGTTCATACAGATCCTGTTTCACTGAGGATTGTTTTGCTTTCCAACTATAAAAAAATGGCATGAAAATATTGTCTACAAAGCTCTGGGATTGGTATCCCAGAAGAGACAGGGGGTAGGGGCAGACCTCCCGGGGCAGCCCACCCACTGCTCTGCTCTCTGAGGCTCCCAGGTGGGGGATGAACTACTCAGTTCCCAGATGCACCCCCAGGCCCCTCCCCTGAGCTGAATGCTCAGGCAGGTGGGGGCTGGAGGAGGGGAGGGGAGCCTTCCCTCTGGACCAGTGGGCCTGATGGAGGGCAATTCGCGTGGAAATGGAGCCCAGGAGTGAAGAAGTGAGGGGCAGCACAGAAGGGCAGGCCTGTGGCTCAAGGAGGAGGGGGTGGATCCTGTGGACCCAAGCAAGTGACTTCAGCAGCTGACATTCCACCTTCCGGGGAAATAACGGAGTGGAGGAGGTGAGAGGTTACTTCAGTTGCTTTTGTCAGCCTGAGAATTTCCACATCCTTTGGGTACAGTTCTTCAGGAAGGAAAAAGGCTGTTATAAATTAAGGAAACCATTTTATGCAGACAAATTCAGATACAGATTAATTAAACACACACATACACATACACCCTTCAGTGGAATTTAGTTCAAAAAATATGAATAAGAACTAGAAAGAAAGCAAGGAAATAGGCATTGTGATTTTTAACTCTCTTACCCACTAGCCATGTGGCCTTAGTCAAGTCACTTTGCCCATCTGAGAAGACACTGATGCCTCAGCCCCAGCTACTCCGATTTAATAGGTCCAGGGTGACACCTGGACATCTATATGGTAATAAAAAGCTCTCTGGATTATTCTCAGGCATCACAAGGCTGAAAATTACTGGTTATATATTTTGTAACTTACTCTTTTAAAAATGTTATATTCTAGGGGCTGGCCTGGTGGCATAGCGGTTGTTTGTGCGCTCTGCTTGGGCAGCCCAGGATTCGCCAGTTTGGATCCTGGGCCTGGACCTATGCACCACTTATCAAGCCATGCTGTGGCAAGTGTCCCACATATAAAATAGAGGAAGACGGGCATGGATATTGGCTCAGGGCCAATCTTCCTCAGCAAAAAGATGAGGATTGGTGGCAGATGTTAGCTCAGGGCTAATCTTACACACACACACACAAAAAGTTATATTCTAAATACCTCTCTTAAATTATGATGAATTAAGTGGTATGAGACAAAAAAATCAATGTTAGGTTAGGCGGCACTCCCATATAGCTTACTGAGAACATATTGATAATAAAATAGACACATCTAAACATATGCCCATAGAAGTGGGAGAAGGAGGGGTGGATAGAAGGACAAGGGTTAAAGGTGGGTATAGGAACCACCGAAGCAGTGTTTGTTTTGGGGGCGAAGGAGGTTTGTGACTCAGACCAAATGACATGATGTGGACGTCCTCTATGCAGAAGAGGAACGCCCAGAGAGGGAAGAAAACTGCGTGCAGTTAGGTTAGAAAGTTCTGCCTGATTTTTAAAAAGATTTGCTTAGTAGCCCAGTGGGAAGAGACTGGACAGACAAGGTGGAGCAGGGGTTTTTAAGAAAGGAATTTATTAACATCTTTTGAGTGACATAAAGCCCCCCCAAAAGCATAAAGAGGTGCTTTGCCATCCTATATCGAACCACATAAACTGAACAGACTTCTCTCAAACAAAATGAGGCTTCCCAGGAGATTTTCAAAAGCAGAGAAGAAAGTGGATGAGCCTGATCCACAGCACTAGGGGGACTATCTGGAACGAGGGGGTGGATCCTGGACGTGGAGGCCCTGGAGGTCTGAGACGGCGAGTATCAGTGGAGCGTGGATCCACTCAGGCCAACCGCCTGGCCACCGGGACCTCAGCTGTCTCCCCACACTCCTTCGACAGCCATGGGCCCTCTGTGCACGGTGAAAGGAGATCTCTCAGGGGCTGGAGATGTGGTGAGCAAAGGAACAGTCCCTGCCCTCAGGGAGTTTACAGACCAATGTGTGATTTACATAGTCACCAAATGATGACCTCTCCTAACGTGTGAGTGCAAACTGAGATAAGACCTCTTAAAAGAAAGGGACCTGGTTCCACCAGAACATATTAAAAATAACCTCCCGTACTGTGGGGTTAGACAAGGCTTCACATCACGTCTTGGTTCTTATTTATCTGGTTTATTCCGCTATCCTTTGGGCAAGTTTAGTGCGAATTACATGTTCTCTCTTCCCCAACCCCCTACAGATAGTAAATGACTCACTCGTCTGTGGGTGCACTTTTCATATGCAAACCCACCAATCCAGAGCCCATACCCTCAACCACCACCTGCATCAAGTTCTTGCACCACAGGCCACTGTTCCCCCATCTTAATCAGCCCAGGGCCAGGTACCAGACAAGCAGAGACAGCCCGTATGCCCCGAGCCCACTAAAAGGATTCCAACTAGCCAGGGAAGCCTGCTGACCCTGTCTTACCCATTCCTTTCTGTGGAAACCACCGTACAGGCTCTCCCCACATTTTCCTCCCACTGTCTTGGCCTCCTCACCGGCCCTGGTGCTTCCCCATGTGGCCACCTGTGGCATGGCATGGCCCTTTCTCTCGGGACCTGTGAGTATAACAAACTGTCTTCCCGATGGCAGTTGTCTCCTGATCTACTGGCTCACTATACCTGAATAATAATGAAACCTACATTTTAAAACACACCCATCCTTGCACTGGTTTGTAAACAAAGGAAAAACTAAGGGGATTTTCCACAGCTCTATTTCCAATCTATTGTTCTGAAGTCTGTTTACATTTGAGCACGTGCTTTAGAAACGGGGAGGCTGGTGAAGAACTGATCCTCGGCAGTAAATTCCACCAAAGCCCAGAGACTAACGCTTATGATGGAGTGACACTAGTCCTCATCTAATCACTCTGTAAATTCTTCTGAGCCACCACTGCAGTCTATGCTACATTTACCAAAAGCCAGTTCCCCATCACCTCTCCTTAATCATTTTCCATTCTCCTTATCCACGTGGGTTTATGCTAAGCCAAGGATCTGATGTTTCTTTGACATCGATGAATTTAAAACAGGCCATCTTGGATGGGCTCATTCTCCCTAGCAAATGCCTCGACTGGATAAATTTGTTAAGAACGACTAGAATATTCTCTTTTATTTTTTGCACACACAAATATATGCATTTACTTTTTTATTCATGAAAATATTTTCACTGTAAATAATTCAAGAAATCCAGGGAAAACAAAGTCCTTTTTCACCTGCCTTCCTCCATAGACCCAACTCACCAAATCTCACTACCACCTTCCTTTGATATTTTCATCCTCTCTCTCTGTCTCTCTCTTTCCTTTCCTCCCTCCTTCTTTTCCTCTTTCCCACATATGCACACACCCCTACACTGTATATAAACACAGGCTTTAATAACATAAATGGAATCACTCCGCTCATATTTTTCTACAAGTCTTGTTTCTCCTCTCATTTATCAATGTGTTTTAGAGATCTTCCCATCAGTGATACAGAAGCCCCTCATTCTTTTGGAGTCCTGCACACCATTACATGGGACACAAGCACCATAATTTACTTAACCATCTGCAACTGAAGGTAAATTAGGTTGTTTCAAATTTGGGGGATACAAACATTGCTACTGTAAATATACTTGTGGTCACCCACCTGAACAGGTATAAGAATTCTTCTACAATATATCACTAGGTGTACAATTTTGGGGTAGGGTATATTTTATGTGTTCCCAGTACTGATGGAAAAAAGAAACTCTTATGTTACATAACTTCTAAGTACTGCTTTTTTCTTCAAAAAAGTGAATAAATGGGGGGGGGGGGAAGCAATTATTGATGCTACAGCAAGTCATTTGGTTCTACTCAGAGTACCACAGCAAGGAATTGTTCAGTTTTTTCTCTGGAATAATCTATCTCTGTTGAATTCTCTGCTCAATGGCCTTTAAATTACATTCTGTAGTGGACAGAATTTTGAAGGAGGAAAAACAATTGAGAAATGATGAAGCTTTCAGTAGCTTACTGAAGAGTCTTATACCTTCACAGTTATTAAAATAATCAACTTGTAAGTAAAATCTCTGGCTTTTATCCCTTTAAAATTTTACAACTCTAGTGAAAGCGAGTGAAGGCTAGAAATCTACATGTGACAAATGGAATGAGCCTTGAGAAACTAGACCATACCTCCACTTCCCATCTGACTCTATGAACGATGAGGATTATCAATATGACGCAACAACTACAGCCTAGAAGGACCCAACATAAAACAATCAACCCACAATTACCCTAACCTCAGAGAAAATGCTTTCTTTTTTTTTAAGATGAAGAGACTTTCAAAATTAAATTTATACATATAATATATAAAAGAGGAGAAAGGAGAGCGAGGATTTGAAGCAGTGGGATAAACCTAGAGGTCTTCCATTTTGAAAGATCAGATGGAAAATGCTAGTTGATCTTTTATTTCATAAGGAAATTAATGAGAAAAGCAACAAGGCTGTCCATCTAAATGCTATGTTGAAAAAAGAAGGGAAAGTAAAAAAGAATGCAACTCTAAATGTCTAGTTTCAGACAAAATGGTATGAGAAACATATTCAAGAAGAAGTCATC